GCATTTTATGTAAATGTTCTTTTTAAAACATAATTTTATGTCTTATAAAACATTTTAAATGAATAGATACAACACAACAAACACCTGTGTGCCCACATTATATCTTATTTTCTTTATACTAATTTTAAATAAATGGTATGGAGGGCCCTGTATTATCTCTTCTTAATCCCATTACCCTTCCTCCTTTCCTAGAGATAAATACTTTCATTAATTTTTTGATTCTCTTGCATGCCTTTATACTTCATATGTTAAATATGACCAGTCTGAGCAAGAAAATAGGAAATGGAAGATAAAAAATTAGCTGGATGTGGTGGTACATGCCTGTAATCCTAACTACTCAGGAGGCTGAGACAGGAGGATTGCTTGAGCCCAGGAGTTTGAGCGAGCTATGATGATGCCCAGGGCAGCAGAGTGAGACTCTGTCTCAAAAAAAAAAAAAAAAAAGGAAATTGACCCTCCCTTCCTTACTTCCCCCCTTCATAAGACACACACACACACACACACACACACACACACGCACGCACGCACGCACGCACGCACCCATTCCCATCAGCAGCGTATGACAGTTCCTGTTTCTCCACATTTTTGTCAAAATTATATATTGTCAAATTTTCTAAATTTTTGCTAATCTGATACATATGAAATGATATCTCATGAGGTAAATTTGCATTTCCTTGATTTCTAAGTATCCTATTTTATATTTATTGGTCATTTAAGTCTTCAGTGAATTTCCTGTTCCTATTCTTCACCCATTTTTTCTGTTGGATTGTCTTTTTCTTACTCATTTAAGTTTGTGACTCCTTTCATTGAGCAAAAGCTTTAAATTTTAATGTATTAATAGCAAATATATCTTTTCCTTTATGATTTATATGTTTTATGGCTTGTTTAAGAAATTATTCTTTGATATCTGAACATATTCAATGTAGTAATGTATCAGAAATTATACTTATAGATTATCAAGTAGAGAACAAACAATAAAATAGAAAAATGGACAAAGGATATGAAAAGACCAATCACAACAGAGAAAATCTAGGTGGCCAATATACATGAAATTACAGTGGTAAAAATCTTCTTTGCAGAGAATAGGAATACACATGTAAAAATAAATTGCTGCAGCATTTTTGGAAAACAATCTAGTAACATCTGTTAAAGCTTTACCTCTCCTAATACAGGCACCAGTAAGTGTGTCTAAGATGTTCAGTACAGTGCTGCTTTTTTTGTAGTCTCACAAGGCTGAAAATAAAGTGAACATAAAAGCCTTTTGTACAGGATGTTTTAATAAATCTATACCCCAGACTGTTATGTAGTCATTAACAAAAAAATTAAAGCTAAGCTGCACAAAAATATGTTTAATATCCCATTTTTGTAATCAGACTAACAAAATTAAGATCTTTATAAATGTATACACATAATATATATGCATGGAGAAAATATACAAAGACTTACCCTCTTAATATAGGTTATGGAGAGGGGATGAATCAGGGTGAAAAGAGGATTCAAACAAAAAATTTATGCCTGGGTGCACTGGCTCACGCCTGTAATCCTAGCACTCTGGGAGGCCGAGGCAGGAGGATCGTTTGAGCTCAGGAGTTCGAGACCAGCCTGAGCAAGAGCGAGACCCCATCTCTACTGAAAATAGAAAAAAATTATCTAGACAACTAAAAATATATGGAAAAAATTAGCCAGGCATGGTGGCGCATGCCTGTAGTCCCAGCTACTCGGGAGGCTGAGGCAGAAGGATCGCTTGAGCCCAGGAGTTTGAGGTTGCTGTGAGCTAGGCTGATGCCACGGCACTCTAGCCCGGGCAGCAGAATGAGACTCTGTCTCAAAAAGAAAAAAAAAATTTTTTTAAAGTGTTTATGTATTTGAATAGATGTTCATCCAAAGAAAATATACAAATGGCCAATATGCACATGAAAACACGCTCAGCATCACTAACCATTAGGCAAGTGGAAATCAAAACAGCAATGAGATACCACCTTACATCTATTGGGATGGCTGCGTCAAAAAAAAAAAAAAATGGTGAAGCCGGGTATGTGCTAGCCTATAGTTCCAGCTACTCAGGAGGCTGAGGCAGGACAATCACTTGAGCCCAGTAGTTCAAGGCTGCAGTGCACTATGATCCTACCTGTGAATAGTTATTGCACTCCAACCTGGGCAACATAGGGAGACTCCCATCTCTGAAAAAGAAAAAATGTTGGCAAGAGTATGGAGAAATTGAAACCTTTGTACCCTACTGGTGGGAAGGTAAAATGGTGTAGCCAGTATGGAAAACAGTATAGTGATTCCTCAAAACGTTAAAAATATAATTACCATAAGATCCAGAATTTTGGTTCTGGGTATATACTCAAAAAAATTGAAAGCAGGGTCTCAAAGAGATACTTACACACCTCTGTTCAAGCACCGTTATTCTCAAGAACCAAAAGGTAGAAGCAACTCAAGTGTCTGTTGATGGATGAATGCAGAAACAAATGTAGTATACACATATAGTAGAATATTGTTCAACCTTTCAAAGGAAGGAAATTCTGATACATGCTACAACATGGATGAACCTTGAGGACATTATGCTAAGTGAAATAAGCCAGTAGCAAAAAGGCAAATATGTATGATTACACTTTTCTGGGGTATCTAGCATAGTTATATTCAGAGAGACAAAAAAATAAAATAGTGGTTTCTAGGTGCTAGGGGAAGGGAGGAGAGGAAACTTGTTTAATGAGTACCATATAGAGTTTCGGTTTTGCAAGATAAAGCGTTCTGGAGATTGGTTTCGCACTATGTGAATGTATAAACTGTACACTTAAAAATGGTTAAGAGGATAAATTTTATGTGTATTTTACCACAATTTTTTTAAGAAAATACTGATAACATGATAACATCTGTGCAATGAAGTAAATTATTTAAGTGTGTGATTTTATTAAGAAATTAATTTAGGATGGGTGCGGTGGCTCACACCTGTAATACTAGCATTTTGGGAGGCCAAGGTGGGGGGACTGCTTAAGCCCAGGAGTTTGAAACCAGCCTGAGCAAGAGCAAGACCCCATCTCTACAAAAATAGAAAAATTAGCCAGACGTGGTGGTGCGCACCTGTAGTCCCAGCTACTTGGGAGGCTGAGGCAGGGAGGGTCACTTGAGCCCAGGAGTTTGAGGTTGCAACAAGCTATGATCATGCCACTGCACTCTAGGCTGGATGACAGAGTAAGACTCTGTCTCAAAAAAAAAAAAAAAAAATTACATAAACCAAGTTTAAGCATTTAAATCATCTATATTAATAATTGGTAAGGTAGATTTTCAAATATAAAACTAAAGATTCAAGTTACTCTCATAAGCTGGCTGGACCTTCTTACTTATTTTTTGAACCCTAAGATTATTTTAGAAAATTAGGATCTGAATCAAGTAAGGCCAACACAGTGGTGTTTTTCTTACACACATGCATGAAAAACTCTTCTATGATGATGATGGTGTGGTTATATTAAATAAAAATGTTAACTTTTTTCTGCCAGTAAAATAGATTTTTAAGTTAGTTTTTCAATCCTGCCATTTCTTTTTAAGAGAAATACCAGTAGACAGACAAAGCCACTCAAAGTTCAAGTTATGCATTCATCTATTGTCGCGCATCAGAATTTTGGTTTGAAACTTTTGTCTTGGCTGGGAAGTATTATTGGATATTCAGGTAGGTTCATAAAAATTTGTGCTAATTATCTGTTAAAATGAGCTCATGTGCCCTTGCAAAACTGTTTTGGAAAAAATATCAAGTGGAATAATTTCTTGCTTTAATTTCACATTTTAGAATACCATCTCAGACTATCTTTATACACAGAAAAACCAAATTTTGTCCTATGGTATTTTTTTATATGCACACAAAGAATTCTCTGTTAAAATAAATTCGGGAAACATTGGGTTAAACAATTATAAAGGACTTTAATATGCTAATGCAATGTAAATTTTACAAACTTGATTTTAAAATCTTTTCTTTTAATGGAACATCCTGTGGAGCTCTTCCACTGTGTTACCTGGAAAAATGCTACTGTAAATAAAACCTAAGTGATTAGCAATTTAAAAGATAAAACACTAATGTTAATATCTCTAAATCCTATAGCTTTTGGTTACCAATAATTTGCAACCCCAAAAATTTGCAAATTGGAAGTTATTGATTTGAATTTTTAAAAATTTTTCCATGGTCTACAAGTTAGATAATTTTTCTTTATGTAATGGTAACAGAATTAAGAATCATCTTGTCCCCAAAAATACAAGTCTTGTGTATAACACTAAAGGGTAAAATTGGCATAGATCTAAGCTATCTGTCATGCTATTCTTTAGGCAAGACTATGAATAAATACATTCAGATGTTTACTGTAAAGAAAATTTCTAAAACATTTGTGTTGAAAGGCTGTGACGAAGAGCATTACCACACTGAACTGACAGTTGTAAATATGGAGGCATGGAAGTTTAGGAGAACATGTTTTCTTGCCTTTTAAATGTCTTTCCAGTTATTTTTCTCAGCCCCATATTCTTTATTTTTGGTGTTTTCCATTGGATGCCTGTATGCCAAGTACTGTGGTACAGTATTAATGAATAGTATCATGGAAGTAATTTCCTGCTGAAAATTTTGAGATATTTATCGATAATTTAAATGCTTATATTTAATATTTATATAAGGTTTTCCCTTTAGCCTTTTAATTACTTCTATTTGGCAAATTTATAATTCAATTTAAAAGTTACTCCATTTGTTATTATTTTGCCTGCTTGAAGAAGACTAAAAACACTGATTTAAATTATAAAGTATGGTGAAACAAAAAGATGTTAAAGATTTGGTTACTTTAATGCTTATATTAATATTTGAAGAACTTTTCTAAAGTTTAGC